GCGCCTGCCTCGCGGTGCGCGGGGCACTTGCCACCGCCTGTAGCGGCACGTGCGACGGGAACGATCCGGTCACGTGCCTCGTCTCGATGAGCTCTGCCAGTCGGCTGAAAACCTGCTCGCCGAAGTGCGCCGCGGCTGGCGGCAGATCCGCGATGCGCTGCTGCATCCTCTTCCTCTTCCCGTGCCGCCTCAACGGCTGATCGGAAATCCAGTGCCCCCTCTCCTCCGCCTCTGCGATGGTTCGGGACCATGGGAGCAAGTCGTGAGAGGCCCCCCCATGCCGGAGGGTGTACAACGACGGGGACTCTTTTGCAGCCCGAGCTGCTGCAGCCCCTGCGCGAACTAGGCGCGCAGCACTGCAGGCCTGAAGTTCCAGAGGTTCGAGTCCGCGGAGGCGCCGAGCGTCGGCGCGTGCAGCGCGGGCCACAGCTCGGGGGCGTCGGCCAGTGCCGATTCGTCTGTGACTCCAGTCTTGCCAGGTCGCCCCGACTTCGCATCGTGCGCAATGAGACCCCAAGACTCGAGTCCGCGATCCGGGGGGCCAGAAACCCCGCGCGCAGCCGGTGGGCCTCCGACGGCTGCAGGTACGCGTGAAAGACCAGTGCAACGAACGCGGCCATGCTGGGCAAATTCATCCAGATCATCCATCCCGCGACGGCCATGGCCGTAGCCCTCGGCAGAGGCAATCGCATCTGGGGCGGCACGAGCCTGCGCCAACCGTCCAGAGCTCGAGTGGTTCGAGGTAGCGGACGCTTGCCTCCCAGCAGGTGCGGCAAATTGCGCCTGAGCGCCGCTGCCGTCATCCCGCCCGTCGCCGTGTCGAACCCGTCCAGCGCCAAGTCCGTCAGGGAGCTGATCGCCGCCGCGCCCAACCGGCTGGCGGTGCTGAAGTCGTGCTCGTGCCAACCGAGCCACTCCAGGAAGCGCAGAGCGTGTCCCTGATGCCGATCCCTCGTCGTGTCCGTGACCGCCGACATGTCCAAGAAGCTGATCGCTTCCCTAGCTAATTCTCGAGGGCGCGGGTGCTCTAGTTCTCGCGCAACCTTGGCTGTCATCGCCAACTGCTTCAAGGGCACCTCGGCAGTTCGAGGCCTCGAGCGCTTGCGAGGAGCTTCTACCGTGGAAGAAGC